GGGGGCACAATCCCTTCCTGAGGGGATTTGAGCCATGATGGGGGATCCCCAACCCCTTCCTGAGGGTTCTGGGTCTGATTGGAGGTCCTGAATTCCTAACTGGGGGCTCTGAGCCCTGGTGTGGGTTCCTTAGTCCCTTACTGGGACCTCAGTCCCTTCCTTACAGGGGACCCCTAATAGGTTTCAGTGTAGGGGTCCCTTATAGAAGGGTGTTTGGGAGGGGTCAGGCCCCTTTGGGAGGGGACAACCGTGTCCTGTGGCCCCCAAGTCCCCCCATAGCATCCCATGGATCCCATCCCATCCCATCCCATCCCATCCCATCCCATGGATCCCATCCCAGGGCAGGGGAAGCTGGGGGTGCCCCCTGGGATGCACCCCAGCCCTTTTCCCCAGGGCAGAGGAGACTGGGGGTGGCATCAGTGGGAGGGGTCACCTTGGGGGGGTGGCACACATGGGAGCACCCAACTGGGGAGGTGGAAATGGGGGTACAGGGATTGTGGGGTGCAGGATGGGCATGGGGGATGGGGGGTACTCGGATGAAGGAATACAGGAACAGGGATGGAGGGTGCATGGATGGGGTTGTGGAGGGGGTGCCCCCACCCTGCCCACTGCCTGCCCCCACCATTCCTCCTGTCCCTGCCCCAAATGCACCTCACCCCTTGCTGTGTCCCCCTTCCCCACCCCCTCCTCAGACCCCATCTCCCCCCTCTCCCCATCAGTCCCCCCAACCCTGGGAGGAGTGTGTGTGTCTTTTTGGGGTCCAGGTGTGGATATTTTGGGGTCCCCCATCACCCCCTCTTCCCCTTGCAGTCTACGCCTCCATCAGCCTCTACCTGCTCCCGGAGCGCCCGGCCACGCTCATCCTCTACGAGGACCTGGTCCAGATCCTCCTGGGATCCCCAGGTGAGACACGGGGATGGCCATGGGTGACACCACCCGCCCTGTGCCCCCCGGCCGAACCACGGGGATGGCGGTGGGTGACACCACCAGCCCCCCGTGTGCTGCCACCCTCCGTGTCCCCGCAGGTGGCCGTGGGCAGCCGTGGGCGCAGTTCCCCCGGCGGGCAGCGCGCCTGCCCCGCAGCTCCACTTACAGCCAGCTCGCCGCGTCCCTCACCGCCGCCTCCGGCCCCAGCCTGGCCCGCGCCTTCCCCGCCTTCCTCGGGGCCGAGCAGGACGGCAGCGGTACGGGGGAACACCGCGGATTGGGGGGTGGGGGGCGCACCCTGTGTGGCCCCCCTTAGGGATGTCCCCGTACTTGTCCCCGCAGCCAATGGCACGTGGCTGGAGCTGGCGCCGGTGGCGGCTGTCAGCGTCCACCTGTTCACCGGCAACGGGACCGAGGTGCCGCTGGCCGGCCCCGTCCATCTGTCCGTCCCTCTGGCCCCCGACGCCGCGGCCGTGGTGGCCACCAGTGTGCCAGCCTGGAGGTTTGACCCCAAGAGCGGTGAGTGCTGGCTGGGATGGCACAGGGGACACAGCTCCCGTTGGGGGTGGCAGAGGGGGACACAGCTCCTGCTGGGGGTGGTGGGGGTGATGAGGTGAGGGGTCTCAGCCCGCTGTGTCCCCGCAGGGCTGTGGGTCCGGAACGGGACGGGGCTGATCCGGAAGGAAGGCCGGCAGCTGTACTGGACGTTCGTCTCCTCCCAGCTGGGATACTGGGCAGCAGCTCTGCCCTCCCCCAGCACGGGTAAGGTGACACCTGTGAGTGCCCTCCCAGCCGGCGTCCCTTGGCTCTGGGGACAGGCTGGCTGGGGAGGGGGTGGCAGCACCCTCTGACCCCCCTGTCCCAGGGCTGCCTGAGGGGCTGAGACCACCCTGGGGTGCTCCTGGTGCCCCCAGTCCCATTGTCCCCAGGGCTGTCTGGGCTGGGGGGACATTGCAGCTCCCTGGCGTGCTGTTTGCCCCTCTGTGCCAGGGCAGCCCCCCAGGGTACTCTCAGGGGGGGCTCCTCCTCTGACCCTGCTGTCCCCAGGGCTGGTGGCGATGGCAGCGGGTGTGACAGACATCACCACCTACCACACCATCTTCCTCCTCACCATCCTGGGTGCCCTGGCCCTGCTTGTCCTCATCCTCCTCTGCCTCCTCATCTACTACTGCAGGTCAGCGTCCTGACCATGGTGGGGGGGGGGGGAACAGAACCCGACATTGCACGTGGGAATGGGGGTCAGCACCCACCTGTAACCCATGGGTGCCCCATAGCTGGGGGGGACCATTTCCTGCACCCTATAACTGGTTGTGGGGAGGGGGCAGCATCCTCCTGGCACCCCTGGGTGCCCTAGACCTGACTGTGGGGAGGGAGCACCACCCTCCTGGCACCCTTGAGTGCTCTGTAGCCACTCTGGGGGAGTCACCACCCCTTGGAACCCCAAAATGCCCTATAGTTGGCTATGGAGAGGAGGCACCACCAGCCTGTGGCACCTCTGGGTGCTCTTTAGCTGGGTTTGGGAGACAGACACCGATCTCCGGAACCGCTGGGTGTGCTACAGCTGGCTTGGGAGGGGGGACACACCACTCCCCAGCACCCCTGGGTGCCCTGTAACTGGATTTGAGGGGTGACACACCACTCCCAGCACCCCTGGGTGCCCTGTAACTGGATTTGGGGGGTGACACACCACTTTCCAGCACGCCTGGGTGCCCTGTAACTGGACTTGGGGGGTGACACACCACTCCCCAGCAAGCCTAGATGCCCTATATTCTCCTCCTCGAGCTCCTTCCAGCAGGCGAGGGAGGAGGGAGCAGGGGGACCCCCTTCCCCACGAGCCCCCGTGTCCCCGCAGGCGGCGCTGCCTGAAGCCGCGGGCTCAGCACCGCAAGCTGCCGCTGCCGGGGCCGCTGGAGGCGGCGCGCCGGGACCAGGCCACCTCGGTGTCCCAGCTGGACCTCCTGTGCGGGGGCAGCCACCTGGAGACCGCCTCCTCGGGGGGCGACACCGACCTGCCCACCCCCAGCCTGCCCCCCTCGACCCGCGAGCTGACCCCCGCCCGGCCGGACTTCTTCAGGACTACGGGCGCCCCGGCGAAGCCTTCGGCCTCCGGGCCGCCCGCTCGGTGGACGGGCTGCAGCCGCCCGACGAGCACCCCCGGGGCACCCCCGCCTTCGCCCCGCGGCCCCCTTCGCCCTCGTTCTCCCGTTACGGGCCGCAGCCCAGCGAGCACCCGCTGCCCGAGCCCCCCCCGCGCCCGCCCTCGCTGGCGCCCCCCGGGCCCCTGCTGCTCTGCGGGCCCCTGGACCGCGGCGGGGGCCCCGAGGATGTTTACCGGGGGGTGATGCCCACCCTCCTCATCCCCGCCCGCTACATGCGCCTGGCCCCCGGCGAGCCCGAGGGTCCCCCCGAAGCCGATGGGGGCCCCGGTTCGACGGCGGCCACGGCCGCGCCCCCGCCACCCCCCTCCTCCGGGCAGCCCTTCGAGGAAGGGGAAAACTGGGGCGGGGCTCGTGCCCCCCAACCGGTGAGCGGCTCGGTGGCCATCCCGGTGCTGCTGGACGGGTCGGCGGTGGCCCAGCTCAACGGGGAGCTGCAGGCGCTGGCCGGGCAGCAGCTCCTGGAACTGGGGGGGCCGCCACCCCCGAGAGCCTGGTTCGTGTCCCTGGACGGGCGCTCCTCCCAGGTTCGGCACTCCTACATCGACCTGCAGGGCAGCGAGAGGGGCCCCGGCCCCGCGCCCCCTCCCCGCCTCCCACGGGCCGCCGGAGGTGGGGAGGAGGACGGGGGACCCCGGCCCCCGCTGCCCGCAGCCTCCCCCGAGGACAGCTCGCTCGCCCCCTTGCTGGAAGCGGGCAGCGGGGGGCGGCGAGGGGGGGGCAGCGGGCGCAGCAGCGCCAGCGAAGCCCCCCGAGACTCCCTGACCAGCCCCGAGGAGGAGGCGCTGGCCGAGGCGGGCGACGGGGGCGACGAGGGGGGCGACCGCAAGAGCCCCTGGCAGAAGCGGGAGGAGCGGCCTCTGATGGTCTTCAATGTCAAGTGAGTGTGGGGAGGCCGGGCCCCTGGTCCGGGGTGGGGGGCAAGTCCCAGGGGTGCTGAGATGGGGACACCGCTGCTGTCACCCGTCCCAGCCCACCACTGTCCTGCCCGGCCACAGTCTCCTCCCGCCACCGTCCTCTGTCATCGCTGTCCCATCGCTGTGCTGTCCCACTGCCATCTCATCCCAGCACCATCCCACCCGTCATCCTGCCCCATCAGTCCCATCCCACCACAGTCCCACACAGCCATCATCTCCTCCCACTGCTGTCATCCTCATCCCACCCTCCCACTGCCATGTCCTGTTACTGTTCCATCCTATCCTGCCATGCCATCCCACCACCTTCCCCACCATCCTGCTTCGTCACTGTCCTCTCCCACCACTGTCCCAGCCCACCACCATCCTCTCCTGCCACCGTCGTGTCCCACCACTGTCCCACTACTCTCCCACCCCACCACAATCCCATCCCACCACCATGGTCCCTTTCGGCCAGGGGAGGGACCAGAGTGACCATACCCAGGCCACCCGTGGCCCCCACCCTATGCCACCAGGCTGTGCCACACAGGATCCTGGTGCCCCTGTTCCCTCCATGTCCCACCCAACACCACCCTCCACCTCCCTGTCTTTTGGGGGTGGGAACTGCATGCTCCATGTTCCCCCAATCCTGAGCCATGTCCCCACTTGTGTCCCTGCAGGACAGGGGGGGCTGGCACTGCCCCCCGAGCCAGCGGTGCCTCCAAGCTGCCATAGGAGCCGGGGGGCCCCTGTCACCCCCACCCTCATCCCCCTTTGGATTTTAACTCGTGTTTCTAAACGTTTTCTACGTGGTGAGGATGAAGAGGGGTCATTGGGGCCAGGCTGGCAGAGGGGGGGCCATGGGGACCCCCGGGTGCCAGGCTGGGCAGGGAGCTGCTGCCTGCACCTGCCTGCACGTCCTGCCTGCTCCTTAGAGGCATTAATATATTAAACACACAAAATCCCCCCTGCCTCCGCCTCCTGCCTCAGTTTCCCCCTCGCCAGGAGCCATGGGTGGCGTTTCTTCTAGAAACCGTTTATTGGGGTGGTGGCACTCGTTGGGGGGTGGTGGTGGTGTCTCCAGTGCCATCAGAGCAGGTCCCAGCGCTGGGGGCTGCACCCCCAGCCCCCCCTGGTGCAGCGGGACCCCGCGGGGCAGCAGTGGCGGCCGTCGGAGCAGCAGGAACCCTGCAGAGAGAGACAGAGTGAGGGAGGGTAATGCCCCCGCCCCGCCAGAGGGGGTCTGGCGGGGGGCTGAGGGGGTTGGCAGCAGCGGGGTGGGTGCCAGCAGCTTCTCACAGCTCTCGGTGGCCACGTTGCAGGTGTAGCCCCGGGGGCAGCAGTGCTTGTGGTCCCCGCAGCAAACGGCCTGGGGGGGACACAGGATGGCATCAGTGGGGTGACACTGGGGGACACGGGTGTCTGCGGGACACAGGGGTCTGGGTACCAGGGACAGAGGTACGTCAGGTGTCCCCAGCAGAGACCCAGGGACTGTGCCAAACCCTACCCACACAGCCTCCATGGAGGGACCAGTGACAAATGTGGGAGTGTCCCATGTCCCTGCCCCTCTCAGCCCTACTTGTCCCCAAAGGGCCACCCCCACAGTCACACGCTGCCCCAACCCCCTCCATTCTATTCCCAAATCCTCATTCCCTGGGACAACACCCCACCCCTGGGGTGCTCCCACCCCCAGGGACTCCCCCACACCTGCTCGAGGGGGCAGCACCCCCAGGTGCCCAGGCTCAGCCGGCAGCACGTGCTCCCGTCAGGACAGCTCGTCTTCTCATCACATTTGACGTTCCCCGATGTCACCTGTCCCCCCCAGGGCAGCGCCGGGGTCTTGCTCACCCAGGGCCGGCGGGTGCCCCCCCCCTGCAGGCAGCTGCCCTCCTCGGGGTCGCAGGTGTAGCCCTGGGGGCAGCAGTGCACGTGGTCGGGGCAGCAGACGGCCTGGGGGCAAAGAGCGGGGGCTGAGCACAGGGGACCCCCAGCAACACAGCTGGGGACCTCCAGGAGACAAGTGCCCTCCTGCCTGTTCCTGCCCTCCCCTGTTCCGTGTCCCCCCAGACCCAGCCTGCCTCCATCCCCACTTTGAGGGGGGCAGATATGGGGACCACCTCATGATGCTTCTGCCCCTCCATGGGACACACGGATGTCCCTGAGCATCCTCCTGTCCCTGAGCACCCCAGTGGCCTTGTGTGCCTCCATCACCTCCCGGTCCCCAAGTCCCAAACTGGTCCCAGTTAGCAGAGGGGGTCTGACTGGGGCTGGGGGCCAGCAAAGGGGCCCTGTGTCCCATGGGGACATGAGGGGTTTGGAGCCCACCCTGTCCTTCTTGGACGACAAGGGACACCTGCCCTCACCCTGCCCATGGGACAGGGGACATCTGCCCTCATCCTTCAAGCAACAAAGGGGGACATCTGGCCTTGACCCTCATGGGGAGAAGGGAACATTGGCCTTTGTCCCCTCGGGGCACAGGAGACCCCCAGCCCATGGGGCTGCTGAGGGGACAGGTGGCCCTGTGAACATTCCCATGTCCCCAGGCAGGTGCCCCACTCAGGGTCCCCTGAGTCATGTCCCTCCCTCCAAGGACACCCCAGGACCCCCTGGAATCTCTGCTCAGTCCAGGACCCCCCACTCCCCTGGGTATACCCCCGGGGCCCCCACCCCACACAGCCATGGACCCCCATGGGCAGAGCCCCCCACACCTGTTCGAAGGGGCAGCACCCCCAGGTGCCCAGGCTCAGCCGGCAGCACGTGGTTCCATCAGGGCAGCTCGTCTCCTCATCACATTTGACATTCCCTGATGTCACCTGTCCCCCCCGGGACAGTGCCAGGGTTTTGCGCACCCAGGGCTGGCGGGTGCCCCCCCCCTGCAGGCAGCTGCCCTCCTCGGGGTCGCAGGTGTAGCCCTGGGGGCAGCAGTGCACGTGGTCGGGGCAGCAGACGGCCTGGGGGCAAAGAGGAGGGGCTGAGCACAGGGGACCCCCCAAAGGACTGCCAGCTCCACAGAACGGGGGACAAACGTGTCCCCTCCTGCCCATTCCTGCCATCCCCAGTCCCCGCCCCAGCAGAGAGGAGGGGGGGATATGGGAACCCCTCATCACTGCTGACCTCCCCTCAGTGGGACTCAGGAAGGTCCCTGAGCATCCTGGTGGCCTCATGTCCCTTCACCACCTCCTGCCACTGGAGCCCCAAACTGGTCCCAGTCAGCACAGGGGGTTTGACTGGGGGTTGTCAAAGTGACTCAGTGTCACCCTTCCCCACGGGACACCAGGGAATGGGAGCCCTCTTGGGGGACAGGGGACATCTCCCAGTTCTGGAGGGACACAGGGGAACCCACCCTTGTCCCTCCCAAGGCGGACAGGGGACATCAAACCTTTTCCTGGGCAAGTTCAAGGAATCCCCACCCTTGTCCTTCTCAGTGGAACAGGACACAGCTGCCCTCATCCCACCCAGGGGGTCAGAGGACATCTGTGTTTCCTGGGGGCACAAGGGACCCCTGTACCTGCTCGAGGGGGCAGCACCCCCAGGCCCCAGAGCTGAGCCTGCAGCACGTGTTCCCATCGGGACAGCTCGTCCCCTCGTCACACTTGACGTCACCAGCTGGGGACAGGGGACAGTCAGGGCTGGTGTCCCCTCCCCGGGACAGGACAGGGGGTTGCTCCCTGGGGGGGCCTTACCTCTGGGCAGTGCTGCCAGAGGGGCAGAGCCCCCCAGGGAGGTGCAGGTGGAGTGGATCAGGTCACAGGTGGTGCCCTGGGGACAGCAGTGCTGCCCGTCACTGCAGCACACGGCCTGGGGGAGACACAGCATGACAAGGACCCTGAGATGGGGACAGGGGGCACAGCATAGGGGACATGGCGTGGAGGTGCCCTTGGGACAGCAGTGCTGTCCGTCACTGCAGGACACGGCCTGGTGGGAGACAAATGGGGGGACAGGGACCCTGGGGACAAGGACAGGGTGTGCTTAGCACAGGGGGCAGTGCAGGGTGCCTGGTACGGGACGTGGCACAGGTGGGGTGCCCAGGGCCCAGTGTCCACCACAGGATGCCCAGCAAGGCGTGTCTGCTGTGGGGTGATAGGGACAAGGTGCCCAAAATAGGGTGCCTGGCATCACTGTGGGGTGCTTGGAATTGGGGTGCCCAGAATGGGGTGCCTGCATGGACTGGCACGGGGTGAGTGGTGCGTGCTGGGGTGTGGGGTGCTGGACTAGGGTGCCCACTGAGAGGTGGCTGCCTTGGGGTGCCTGGTTTGGGGTGTTCAGTGGGGGGTGGAGGGTTTGGGGTGCTGGGCACAGGTTTGGCACAGCTGCCCATGCCGGGGTGCCCAGGGCTGTGCCAGCACTCACGTTCTGCAGGGGACAGCAGCCGTACTGCGTTGGGGACAGCTGGCAGCAGGTGGCCCCGTCGGGACACGCTGAGCGGCCATCGGGACACAGCACCTGGCGCAGCGCCACTGAGGGGACACACGGTGTCACCGCGTCCCCTCCGAGGGCACGGCACAGCGAGGGCACCCCCAGGGCACCCCCCTTACCTGGGGCGGGGGGGTGGCGCTTCCAGGCAGGGAAGGCTGTGCCCAGGGGGACGTCGGTGTCACCGGCAGGGGACACACAGCGCCCGCGGGTCAGGTCACAGACGGTGGCGTGGGGACAGCAGTGCACCTTGTCAGCACAGCACGAGGCCTGTGGGTGCCAGCCGTGCTCGTCACAGCGATGGCCGTGCCAGGTCCCCCCCTCAGCGTCCCCGTGTCCCCACAGCCCATACCTGGGGCATGGGGCAGCACCCCCAGGCGCCGCTGCTCGTCACACAGCACGTGGCATCGTCGGGACACTCGGACTGGCCGTCAGGACAGGGGACAGCACGGGGGGCTGTGGAGACAGGTGGCACCCCCGCGTCCATCCTGTCCCCTCGAGGCCCACCCTGCCCCCCAGCCACCCCCCGTGTCCCTGTACCCAGGTCTGTGACACAGGACTCCCCGTCAGCGCTGCAGTGGGACCCTCGGGGACAGCAGCGGTAGCCCCCCGCGCAGGGGACACTCTGGGGAAAGAGAAGGGAGAGGGAGGGCAAGGGGGTCAGGGTGTGCCCCCCAAATGGCAGGGACAGGGGGGAAACTGAGGCACAGGGGAGGGGGCTCACCTCTGGCAGCTGGCAGCCAGCAGGGCAGGATGAGCTGTCCTGGCACCCCATTGCACTGCGGGCAGGCAGGGCCTGGGGGCACAGGGGGGGTTGGGTTACATCCCCTGCTGAGGCCCCCCCGACCCCCCCAAACCCCACACACTCACCGGGGTGACGGGGCAGGGTCCCCCATGGGGACAGGGCAACTGGGCCCCTGCGCCGGCCAGGGCCACCCACAGCAGCAGGAGGGTCCTCATGGCTCTGGGGGCACCTGCGGAACCCCCCGAACCCCCGGCCTCAGTTTCCCTTCTCACTCAGCGGGCAGGTGGCTCTGCCCCCCAAATCTCACTTCTTCTTTCAGCCATGTGTTGGGAAAGTCCCAGCCCCACCCCTTCAGGCAGCCCCCACCCCGGGGTGCTGGGGGGCACCTCAGGGTGCTGGGGGTACCCACAGACAGCGGGGGGGCCCTGCGGTGTGTGGCACCCCAACCGCACCCCGATAACATCTCCCTGCGGCGCCAGACGGGAACCCCCGCCCCCCATCCCACAATCACTGTCACTGTCACTTCCCTTTCCCCGCTGGGGGCACCTCCTGCCCCGCCCAGGGCGGTCACAGGGCTTGTGTCCCATGGGGGGGGTCGGGGGGGGGACCCTGGTGTCACTGCACCACCCCCCGCGACCCCCCAGTACCCCCTACTGTGTTCGCAGTACGCCTCCCATCAGGGACTCCCAGTACTCCCAGTGCTCTCCCATGACTCCCAGGACCTCCCGGGGAACCCCAGTGTTACCCCATGACTCTCAGTGTCTCCCAGTTCCTCCCTTAAGTCCCAGTTCCTCCCAAAGCTCCCAGCACCTCCCAGTCGTCCGTATGACTCCCAGTGGCCCCCGTGACTCCCAGTTCCTCCTGGCAGCTCCCAGTGCTCCCAGTACCTCCCGGCGGTGCCCGCGTCCCCCCGCGCTCCCCGTACCCACCGGCGCGCCCAGTTCCCTCTCCCGGTCCCGGCCGCAAGCCCCCCCCCCACCTCTGGCCGCAAGCCCCGCCCCCGCCTCCCATTGGCCGCCAGCCGCGCCCGCCGCGCTGCTATTGGCCAGCCAGGGGTGAGAGGGCGGGCACAGCGGCCGCCTCGCCCCCGTCACGTGACGGACGATCACGTGACCGCAGCCCCCCCACTCCCCCCGGGCTGAGGGCGGCGAGAGCGCGAGGGGGCCCGGGGCACAGGGAGCCCTCAGAGCGCCCTGCCCGAGGGGGGACCCCACAGCCCGGGGCACAGGGAGCCCTCAGACCGCCGTGCCCGAGGGGGGACCCCACAGCCCGGGGCACAGGGAGCCCTCAGACCGCCGTGCCCGAGGGGGGACCCCACAGCCCGGGGCACAGGGAGCCCTCAGACCGCCGTGCCCGAGGGGGGACCCCACAGCCCGGGGCACAGGGAGCCCTCAGACCGCCCTGCCCGAGGGGGGACCCCACAGCCCGGGGCACAGGGAGCCCTCAGACCGCCCTGCCTGAGGGGGCACCCCACAGACCGGGCACAGGGAGTCCTCATACTGCCGTGCCCGAGGGGGACCCCTCAGACCTCCCTGCCCGGGGCACAGACCCCCCTGCCCGGGCAGGCACCTCTGTGTCTGCAGCCTTGAGCCCCCCTGTGCGGCCCCGGGCCCCCTCCCCGGGGCAGAAACCCCTTGTCAGGGCACAGACCCCCATCAAGGGCACAGACCCCCCTGCCCTGTCTCAGGGTTTTGTCCCTCGGAGCCCTCCAGGCCTTGTTCCCAGGGAAGGCAGGACCTCCAGCCCCCCACAGCCCCCCAAATTCTCCCCAACCCCTGCAAACTTCCACCAGTCCCCACAGCCCTCTCCAGTCCTCCTCAATCTCCCAGACCCTCCCAAAACTCCAGTCTTTGCTCCCCACCTCCCTCATCCTCCCTGCCAATGCCCACAAGTGCCCCTAAATCCTCTCCAAATCCCCTCCAACCCCCTGTGCCCCAAAGACCACTTCAACTTCTCCAACCGTCCCCAAATCTTCCAACCTCCCTGTCCAAGCTTTTCCCATCCCTCTCCAAGCTCCCCTAATGCCCCTCCAAACCCCCTCCACCTCCCCAAACCCCAAATATTCCCTAAACTCCCATTTCCCCTCCTACACTAACTCCCTCATTTCCCCCCAAATCACCCCCCAGTCCGAGGAAATTCACTCCAAACCTCTTCCAACCACTCCAATACCCCCTAAACCCTCTTTAAAACTCCCTCAACTTCAACTCCCTCCACACCCTCCCTAAACCCCCAAACCTCCCTTTCCAACACCCCAAATCCCTTGCAAACCCCCTAAACCACCTCTGATCTTCCCAGCCCTTCCCAATACCTTTCAGTCCATGCCAACCTCTCTCCACACTCCCTTCCCTAGACCCCCAACTCCTCCAATTCCTGGTCCAACACCCTGAAATTCTCTCTATAACCCTCAAAACCCTCCAAACTCCCCCCCAAGTCCCCCAAACCCCTCCTTAGATCCCCAACCCCAACCAATCTGCCTCCAACCCTCCAAACCACCTCCAGCCTTCCCAACCCCTCCAAACCCCATACTCCATTCCAAGTCCCCCAAACCCTCCCTAGACCCCAACTCCTCCAAATCCCCCTCCAAACCCCCAAACCACCTCCAGCCTTCCAAACCCTTCAAAATCCTTTAAAGTCCCCTTCCAACCTTTCTCCACACTCCCTCCCTAGACCCCCCCAGCCCCTCCAAATCCCCCTCCAGCGCCCTGAAATCCCCTCTAACCCCCTCCACACTCCCTCCCAAGCCCCTCAACCCCTCCAAATCCACCTCCAACCCCACAAAATCCCCTCTAAACCCCTCAACCTCCCAAGCCCCCCAGCCCCTCCAAATCTACCTCCAACCCCACAAAATCCCCTCTAAACCCCTCAACCTCCCAAGCCCCCCAGCCCCTCCAAATCTACCTCCAACCCCACAAAATCCCCTCTAAACCTCTCCACATCCCTCCCAAGCCCCCCAGTCCCTCCCTAGCACCCCAACCTCCCCTTCAACACCCCCATTCCCCCCCAGACCCCTCTCCATGCAGACACCACATCACCAGCCCGTCCCAGAGCCGCCGTGCGGGGTTGGGGGCACACGGGGCCTTTATTGGGGTCAGATGGCCGACTGCTCCTGGCGGGGGGGCTCGCCGGGGGCCGGTGGCCGCTCGGGCTCGGTGGCCATGGCGGCCTGGCGCAGCACGGCCATGTGCTCCTCGGCGGCCGCCAGTGACCGCTCGACCCAGTGGCGAGCGGCCGGCTGGCGACAGGCGCTGCGGGTCACCAGCACCAGGTGACTGACCGACAGCAGCAGCGCTGCGGCCCTGCGGGGACACGGGGCCGTCACTGCGGTGTCACCACCCTGTCACCGCCCTGTCACCGCCCTGCCCCACGTGGCTTCCTCAGCAGCAGCATGGCCCCCAGCTGGCATGTGGTGACCAGGGACAGGACCCCAGGAATGGCCTGAGGTTGTGTCACAGGGGGTTGGGATGGATCTCAGGGAAAGGTTCTTCCCCCAGAGGTGCTGGCACTGCCCAGGCTCCCCAGGGAATGGTCCCAGGCCTGAGGCTGCCAGAGCTCCAGGAGGGGTTGGACAGAGCTGCCAGGGATGCCCAGGGTGGGATTGTTGGGGGCCAGGGGTGGGACTGGATGAGCCTTGGGGTCCCTCCCAACCTGGGATATTCTGGGATCTGCTCACTCCCTGTCGTGCTGGATGACTGGGCTTGTCCCCAGAGTGGGGTTGTCCCCAGAGGTGTCATATGGGATGGGGGGGTGTCCCCACCCACAGGTATCCCCCACCCAGGAGTGTCCCTGTCCTTCCCGCTGCTGTCACCTCGCATCCAGCAGTTTGGGGTCCAGCGGGGGGTACATGGATCTCACCACGTCGTCCACCCTGCGGTGGGGACAGTGTTAACCCCAGGGACACTGTGGTGACCCCTGGGGTTAACACTGTCCCTCGAGCACACCCACCCCAGCCCAGCGCCCCCCCAGAGCCCTGGGACATCCCCAAAGCCCCCATGACCCCTCCAGACCCACCCTGTCCCAAATCTCTGAGGACCCTCCAGAGCCCTGGAAATTTGCCCCCAGTCCCTGGGGACACCGTAGAGCCATAGGACCCCACCCAAGAGCCCTGGGACCCCCCAGACATCCCCTGTCACCTGGGGCTGATGCGCTTGGCCACCACAATGATGTCACCCAGGCTGGCTGGGGACTTCACGCGTGCGCCTGAGCCCATGGTCATGGCCACCAACTTCTCCGTCAGCGTGTGACAGATCTGGGGGACAGCAGCAGGCACTTAGTGCCACCATCAGCACCAGTGCCACCAGTACCAACAATGTCACCATTGCCACCATTACCACAAATGCTGCCCACTATTGACACCAATGTCACTAGTGCCACTGGTGCCACCAGTGTGACCCTTGCCACCAGTGCCACTGGTGCCACCACTGCCTACCAGTACCACCAGTACAACCAGGGCTGCCATTGCCACCAGTGTCACCGCTACCACCATTGTCACCACTGCCACCAGTGCCACGCCCTCACTCACCTTCAGGATGGCGATGCAGTGGGACACCAGACCCCTGTGGAGAGGGAGGAGGGTGTGAATCCACCTGTGTCCCCCCTGCTCTTGTCCCCTGTGTGTCCCCCCTCTCCCGCCAGCCCACACTCGATGTCCCCCAGACCTGTGGGAATATTCCCACCCCAAGTCCATCTTGAGGACCATCCCCATGGATTGGTGACCTCCAAACCTGTCCCCTGCATCCCATGATGGGGAGCTGGCACTGCACAGGGGTCCCCAGCAGTGAGGGGACACAGGGGACACTCACGAGGCATCCTCGACCCAGTCCTCGTTCTCCAGGATGGCCTCTATGTGGGGGTTGGTGATGACCACGTCATCCAGCTCCAGCTCCGAGGGCTCTGATGGTGTCTCCGTGGTCCCCATCAGGTCCACGATGGGTCTGTCAGAGACATGGGGGACATCCCACCAAGGGCCACCTCCTTGGGCTGCCCCACAGCTCCAATGGCCCTGGTGCTGGTGGACGTGTCCCCATCTTTGTCCCCCTGGTGATGTGGATATGTCCCCAACTTCTTCCCTCAGATGATGCTGGACATCCCCTACATCATCCCCCCGACTAAAATGGACGTGTCCCCATCTTTGTTCCCTGGATGATGGGGACATGTCTCCATCTTTGTCCCTTTGATGATGGCTGATGTGTCCCCATCTCTGTCCTCCTGATGATGATGGGTGAGTTGCCACCTTTGTCCCCCCGATGACTGTGGATGTGTCCCCCACATTGTCTCCTTGATGATGCTGAACATGTCCCCAGCACTGTCCCCAGCCCACGGGGGTTGCAGTCCCTCCTTGGTGGGGACAGGCATACTGCCACTCCCTCCCACTGGGGTCACTCACTTGGTGTCATAGTGGTGGCGCAGGTCCTTGGGGTGACAGTAGCGCTGCCTGCACACCACCACCAGCGCCACGAAGGACGCCAGGAAGATGGTGGCCAGCACCCCGATGGCCACGATGACAACGGTCTCCATGGCTCGTCCCCACCGCAGGGGCTCAGGCGTCCGGGGCCATCACAGCACACTGGGGGCTGCAGGGACAGGGGCTGCAGGGACAGGGGGACCAGGGACTGGAATCCCACAGATGTTCTCCTCTCCATCCCACACCCCAAATCGCCTGGCCAGGACCAAGTGTCACCCCCAGATTTTCACCCCTCTGTCCCCAGGGTCTTTCTAGAGGCAGTGTCACCTGGGGCATGCGGTGACTCTGGGTGTGGGGTACAGCAGGATTGGGGGGCTGCCCTCATCCCATCACCACGGCTATAGGAACAAGGGGACAGGGAAACAGGCACTGGGGTCAGGAGAGCAAGGCCTGGTCCATAGGGGGGTGTGGGGACCCCCAGAGTGTGTCCTTCTGGGGACACTCACAGCCTTGTCCCTATGGGGACATGGAGACCCCCAGAGCCTTTCCCTGTGGGGCCATGGGCACCCCAGAGACT